GAAAGCAAACACTAAATATTTTATTGTATAAAAAGTAAATATACGTATATACAAGGGCATGAACACACATATATAACAGTAAATTTAGGCTACGAAGGCATATCAGTGCTGTCATTGAATATTTTTGGGAAAATTTATTGCATTTGTGATATTTGTCAGCAGCAACGCATAACCCTAAACACTCCACACGCTCCATATGCTCCATACGCACCATAACCGTTATGTATAGATATTTGCAAAAGTCTGTAAATTTATATTTATATTTATTTATATTAATTTGCATGGCACACAAAATATCAAGTAAATCTAAGCGCACTTATGGGCCATGCAAATATATGAATTCATATGTAAAATAAGGCAACACGGCAATATATTTAACTGTCAGTTTAGCAGTCAAAGGATTGGCATTGTATTAGTTTATAAGCATGCCGATATCGGGTGTCATATATTTATTTGTCTACATAAACATTTATTATTGTGCGCACACATATATTTTATATTGTTCAGTTTTCTATACAAATTGATTGTCTCGTGTGACATTTTAAATGGAAATTCTTGTCGTAGATTTTTTACACTCCAAACTGACATTTGACGTTTTGGTACAAACAGTACAACAAAAGCAGATAATCGTTTGCACGTGTGTACAAAATGGCACATTGGTATTGTTTGGCAATCAGCTTTTTGTTGTAACTACTTATGCAATCAGTATAATATTAGTCTAATCGATTCGTTTTCTTGCTGCTTTTATCAGCTGTCATGTAAATATCAAGAAATTGTTGTAAATGCAGCAGTTTGGTACATTTATTCAGTAGAATTTACGGAAATCTTAACTGACTTTCACCTTCTGTTGCTGTCAGAAACATTTCACTCTCACAATTGGAATGAAATTGATACCAAAATTGCTTTTATATTAAACAAGGTTAGTTGTTAGGATTCACAGAACATGATCTTTAATTCTCTGAACTATTAGGCATCTTTGAATCGACTCTTCCCTGGTCTTTTGTTTAAAAATTAAATAAAAAAAGTTTGCCACTCTCATAGCAATTCTCACACCATATTTCATTTCAAGCGATTTAGATATCTCTAAACTAATTTCAAAATCTCAGATAAACAAAAGTTTTCGACCAATTGAGTGGTATATTGTTGAGGTAAATAAAAGCGAAGATCAAGTTAATAATTTCTTTCAAATATATCTACATGCTTTCTTATTTTTTTAAGATTTCTGTCCACTGTTCAGAGAATAAGAGTTCGGTATAATTTTCATCAAGTCATTCAGTATAGACAGTAATCGTAAAATCATTTCGACACGATTTTTACTTAATGTCTTATTTTATAAAGAACAGATTTTTGCTCGATAACAAAATAACTTTCTCAAGTTGAAGGGCACACCTATACTGGGAAAAGTTTTGGAATTAAAAAAAAAAAAAAAAAATTGGATGAAACCTAAAAACAAAAATTCTCTGCTAGAAGTCCGCATAAAGATCTACGGATAAAAAAAAATTACAAACTGGCGGCGTTTTTTAGAAAAAATTATGAAATTTTAACAAAATTTTAGTCGAACTTGAGCTGTCAAATTTCATTTGTGGTCAGATCAAAAAACTGGTTAATCATTCTGTGTATTCTATATACAGAACATGAATTTGTTAATAATCTAATCATTTGTCTTCGAGTAATCACTCAGCAAACTTCAAAAATTTAGTTTTGAGAAAAACGAGTTAAAGGTAAAATTTAACTTACAAACTATCCGAGATATTGGCTTGAATTTTAGTATGCTATTTTTCGAACATTTCGAAATTATAAAATTAATAATTATTGCAGAATAATCAGTTCGGCTTTTTCACCAACAACTTTTGAAGAACTGTAAGTGTCTAGGAAAATCGAAAACACGCTTTTTTCATAATAAAATAAAGTTCTCTAGATTTGGGAGTATTATTATTAGCAGAAATTTATAGTCTAAAAAGTTATACCCCAACCTCAAGTGGCTGCTGGATATTAAGCGAAAATTTCTTGAGAGAGAAATACACAAGACGTTGACCTTTTCTTAAAATTAATCTGATAACTGAAGTATTGAAAGACATTTGAAAATTTTCAATTTTGTATTAGCCTCTATCTAAATCTATCTTTAAATAAAGTAGTTCCCCTATTGGTTAATTTTCATGATGTAGTAAAACATTAAATATAAAAAAGGAATGTAAGCATCTGCTATTTTTCTTGGCAGGACAGAGATATCGTATAACAAAAAAAAAAACAAGAAAGTCTTCAAAGTGATTTACTTATCACTATGCTGCATTATTGAAAACTAAAAATAAAAAATCTGTTGCTTTCATTAGTTATACATATACTTCATAGCAACAACAAACAGTTTCTGTGAATTGAGTTTTTAGTGAAAGATTTTCAAAACACAATTTTGAAAAAAGAAAAGAGCGAGTATCCAAATCAAACCATTTACTATAAAATTTAATCTAAGTAATTATCTGTCAAGTAATCTATATTGTAAATAGCTTCTTAATTAAAAAACAAAAAACAATTATAAACTTGTTAAGTACCCTTTTTTTAGAAAAGTATGTAAGTTATCAAGAATGAAAAGAACTTTGTTGGAATTTCACAAAAGTCAGTCCAAATAATAATTGTTTAAGTTAAATACGAATATAATACCATCTATATTCTGACGAAAATATCATAATCTGTGTACTACCACAAGAAAGCCTCTTCCTTACAATAACAATATTGTTGCTAGACATTAACAGGAACATAAGTGGATTATATCAAATATTTACTAAATATTTCAAATATTATTTTAAATATTTACTCGGAATGACCCAATTATATTATGTCTGTATATAATAATAGCTTTTACTTATGAAAATACTATTCCTTGATTTGCCTAATCTGACTTAATAATTAATGCATGAAAAGCCGCCTCTAAGCTGTTGCTTTGTAATTTATCCCTCTTTGGCCACATAAGAAAGTGCACAAAAAAGGTAAGACTAAAATATGTTTCATTCTTTTACACCCGCCCTTACTCTCAGAACACTTACAAATTATCCCAAGTCGGCCTAATCCATGACATTAAGTATCTCATTTGTTTAAAAACGGCCGCATAATTGAATTCACTGCGTCGGGTTGCAACATGCAGACGCCGTTAATGTCCTTAGTGCGCTAATACAATGAAAGCGGCTGTGTGCGGCATTAAGATCAACGTATTGTCTATAATTTTTTTTTTCTGTTTGTGTGAAGGCGGCTTTGTTTTGCGTTTCGCACTATTCTCCACAAACGAGCCTTTCCTTCGCGCCGCAATTCTGTTGTCAAGTGTGGGACTTGCGGTCGTACGGGCAACACCAATGTCACTAATACAGTGTGGCAGCTTCCCATAGCAATTTGTTTCCATTTCGTTGGTTCCGTTAATTTGTGCAGACAAAGAACAGTGATCTTAGGGGAAAACAAAAGCGTGCCAAGAGAGTTGTAGTTGTACAAAGAGCTGCGAAAAAAGAAAGGAAGCAACGAAAAAAAAACAGAAAACCAAAAGGCACTTTAGCGCCCCATTAAATGACTCCACATACTTAGTACTCCTAGTAGGCTGTGAAAGTGGGGCAAAGACACGGAAATGAACACACCAGTGCGGCATGCAATGGTGCTGAAGTTTCATTGTGTGACATCATTGTGGCACTGTGATAGCTGAAAGTTGGCCATGAAAGCCGCAGAAAAAATAGACTATTAAGTGTTGACAGAAAAAAGGGGATTAACAAGTTAATCTGAAACACACATGGAGGGAAAAGTGGGAAAACGTGGCCGCTTAGTTCTACAACCATACATATGAGTACGTAGATATTTTCTAAATGTATTAAAAGTAGTGTATCTAGTTTGTAGGACAATTGCCTAAAGAAGATGAACTTTTACAAAGAAACAAAATCGGGCTTAGCTCTAAGATCACTAATACGAGCTTTGGTGTATGGTTGATCTCAGAAAAAATGGCAATATTAGATTTCTATTTCTTGAAAACTTAGCAAGTAAGTAAAATTTAGCCTTGCATATACTAAAAGCTTTTGAAGCTTTTCTAAAGCTTTTTAAAAGTTGTTTTTAAGATTTCTGAAGCATTCCTTAAACTTTCATGTTATTAGTTGCATACGACCAATGTAAAGCTCTATAATGCGCAAAAAAAAAACTGTTATAATGAATGCTTATGATTTTCTACTAATACAGGTATATATCTTGCTTGTTAATAGTAAACATAACAAAATCATGCTTCTCAAAACACAAAAGTTTGGAAAATACATTTTGAGAAGTTGCTAGCCGGTAGCCACTTGAAACTTTTAGAAGCTCAATTTTTAGTAACAAGGTATGGCAAAAATCATTTTGATATACGAGTCAGGAATTTCGATGGTCTTTTGGTGTGTGTGCTTGATAAAATTTAGTTTAATAGTTTTAAAAATGTCTAAAAGTTCGAACGTTTTTGAGATGTCTCCAAAAAGAGTTGTTAAAAAAATTTGCAAGAGGATTAAAATTCTCAAATATATGAAAACCAGCTTACATTAGCTTTTTTGGTGAAAGCTCAAAAGCTCTGAAACTTTCGAAACATTTTACTGCTGAGAATCTACTATTTTTTGCAATTCTCACATAGCATGCTTTCTTGAAGATGTCATGCTTTCTTGAAGAAACGTGGCTCTAATTGTTTTAAGGCAAATTCAGCTGTTTTAAGCGACGTTAAATATTCTGAGCACCTTTTGGTATTTATACTTTCTGTGCTTACAAGGTTTTGAGCTTTTTAAGGTTTAGTTTGTTTCTTTAGTAATTTTCAGATAAACTTTTACGTTTTAAAAAAAGTCAAATAATATTTTAAGTTAAACTAGGAAAGGATTATATTTCAAGTACTCAATGTTATATAAGTAATTTTATTAAATTTTATATTATTATATTTTTATATTATTACTGTTTTAATGTACATAACATGTCATAAAGCATAACATAATTTTAAAGTACTTCTCCATTGCTCATACTTTCAGCATCTATCTAGCTGCTGTCCTCTTCTCTGATAGTTTTCGCTGAACTTGACAGCCTCACTAAAGCTATCTCCAGCTCTTGACGCGTTTAGAAAAAAAAGCTGTGCTTTAACCACAATAACAACAACAAACGCATTAACTATACTAACTTCAACTAAGGCAAGAACTTTTACAACACAGCTGAGGTAAGTTTCTGTACGCAATTAAATACATGCAAATTTACCACATACACACAGACACACCTACATGTGCCGAAGTAAATCATACAATATACATATATATGCAAGCTCATTATGCAAACGAGTTGGAGACCAGCTAAAAGTAGACTAAGTGGAAGTTTAGAATATTTAATGTAGAACTTTCCAACTACAATGGAGCAGTTTAAAGTTGTCAACTATTAAAAACCAGAAGCGAAAGTGCGACTAAAAACCTCAATATGGCAGAGAAAAAAGAAAAATTATGAAAAATGAGCGCCATATATAATATTTAAACACTTGCATACTTTGTGGCGCTTTGGCGTAAGAAAGTTTCACTCGCACACTTTAAACAAAGAAATGACTTTCCTTTCTAACTAAAAAAGAAACTCTTGCATTAAATTTTCACGCGAGAAGTCCACAAAATAGAAATTCGACGCGCACATAAATAAGCATGATTTAATTGTAAGCGTTCTTACATGAATCAACGCACACGACAGCAATCACCGCTGAGCCCGCGGCGCCTCGCAGAGAGTGCGGCGAAATGTGTAGTGGCATCATTTATGCAGCGCTTGCCGCATAAAAATTTCATAATTTACAAAATTAAATGCAATCGCATGCAAATCCAGCGTATTCACTGCCTTGTAGAGGCTTGTAGAGACGAAGTTTTGGTTAGGTATGCAGGCACTTAGCATGCGGCAGCGTGTTTGCAGCAACTTGCAACATTTGCGGTAATGTGTAGAAGTGCCAGAGAAGCACAGCTCTTGCACACACTTCGCAAAATGTTCGTACGTCACGCAATTGCCGTTACGCGTTTTGCATTTTAAGTTATGTCATTTATACGCACACATACACATGTACTGTACTAAGTGAAAGGACGCACAAACCCTAGCGGTGGCAATCATTTGGCCATAAATTTCTGTAAAATGTTACTTTCACGAAGCGGTTGTGCGCTCTACGGCTGAGACGGTTCTTGTGAGGTATTCGTTATATTATACGCTCCAGTTGCTTGATGCTTAAAATTAATTTTTTCGTTAACCTGCTTTTCTTATACAAATAAATCTTAGCTTCATTGATGTTTCTTATGTCCTTGCATGCATCTCTTGAAGATCAATCACAATTGGGCTGAGTTCGTGCTTTAAATCCGTAATATCCTTATAAGAAATTATTTCTAGTTTTCTGCTTTACAATATTGTTTTGCATTTAGATCTGATCAGTGAATTTTAAACTTCATCGTTATAATTTATTCTTCTTCAAGCACTAGGTGTATATCAGCTGTTTAATATATATTTTTTTAATAATTTTTCATGTGTGAAATATTTCAAATATGCAAGATATTGTACCTGAAACTAGTTTGTGCAATTATCAATAACATCGTCGTCACATCTTACCATATATTTCGGGAGAGCGTAACTTAATATTCTTGTCTACAAATCTTTTCTAAAGAATCAGGCCTCAATATGAGGTCGAGTACAGAGAATTCAATTGAGAGATACATCTATGAGAAATTATTATTGCATTATCACAATAAAATCTCTGGTTGCTTGTACTGGTACAAAAATTACTGATTTAAAGGGTAAAAGAGCAAAGAGAATATAGTAAAACTAAAAGTAATTTAGAAAGCAATTCACTTAAAGAGCTCTTAAACACTCAAATAAGGGTTACGTTGTAAGAACATATTATTATATTTTGTGTTATACAAAGAAAAATATAAACAATTTGTTGTAGTGAAAACTTTAGCAAACTTAAGCAAACTTAATTGCGCACAATCGCCAACTTTTTGCAGCCGTTTTATTATATTTACAGTTCATAAAATTTTCGCTTCATTTGACGAAGTTAATTATTACTGAAATAATTGACTTTTTCTTCCTTCTTCTTCACCACCCCTACAGCACCCTCATCACCATCACCCTCATCAGTGCTGTTTACCTACAAATTTTCGCCAACACACTTTAGACCAACAATTTTTGGCGTGTGTTACACCACACTACTCACCTCCGAAACTGTCGTGGCGTTTGCTTGCAATGAATTCCCTTTCAAATCTTTGTAAAATTTATGAACGCCAGAAAACAAAAAGATATTTATTTGACTTTTTCCACTTTTGGCGGCAGGCGGCAGCGGTGCCTTGTGGCATACGCGTGTGGATGTGTGTGTGTACTTGTGCATGAAACTGCCAAATTTAACGGCAGCGCCACGTCTCCTTTTGCTCTTGCTGCTGGCTGTGCTGTTGCTGCTGCGGCTCTTGTTTTTCGGCGAAAACTTTGTCTGCGTAACCAAGCGGAAGTCATTCAGGCGCCATCGCCACGACTGGGTCCTCTCACGCGCTCACACAAACAGTTACTTATGTGTGTGTCGTTCAACGGTGCACGCATACTCACGCTTGAATGCTTACTTTGCGCCGTTATGCCTGGCGAAAAGGCAACGGAAAACTAACATAAATATATTTGCGAAAAGTGAAAAATCAAGCAGCGCTATGGGGGTCGAGGAGGTGCGGCAAGTGCAATCATTTTTTATTTTAAAGTAATTCATACTTGTGGCAACATATTTCTTTTTAACTTTAAAGTGTGTTTTCGGTTTTTTTGGCCATTTTTTATGCGCGAAAATCAATACGAAATTTAATTTCCTTCGAGCGGAGAGCGGAAACATAGAATATGAGCGTTCGCAGAGATACACTTGTCATAACATGCCGTTATTCATGTTATGAATTGTATCACAAAGCTTTTCTTTTGTTAGCACGTAAATGAAGTGAGATGTGTGTGTTCAACGTTGCGTATACGTAACAAATGAATTTCACAATTCACACAACGCAGCGAATTGAATTTGTAGCGTAGGAGTTGAAAAATTTTATTAAACTCGTCAATATTTTTTTTATTACTTTATGCATCTGTAAAGGGTTTTCCATATTTTACAAATATTAATTTAAGAAAAAAAATTTAAAAAGATCGCAAAAAGTTTTCCTAAACTTGACAATTTTTTAGGCATGCTGAGAAAATGGCACTCGAACGAGTTGAATCGAACATATGCAGCTGGAACGTTGCCAACTACTTGAAAATTGAAAGTAAAAAAAACAAAATCTGACAATGACAGATTGCCAACTGAAAAGGTATCATCATGATTACAGTTAGAAATTTTATTAGAGGTGGGTTGCCACCTATATAAGCCTTTGAATGTAATATTTTAGGAATCCTAATTCAATGATATTTAAAGGATAAATATATTTATTTTAGTATAGGTATCAAACTAAAAAGGTTTAAAAAGTTTTATAGTTACAAATATATTGATTAAGCTTGCCAAAATTAAAAAAAAAATTATTACATTAAACTCAGCAATAGATAGCAAAAGAAAAGAGGCCTGAGAATTCAAATACATAATATATTTAAAAATATGTTTAAACAAACGTGCCACTTGATCAAAAGTTTTCATACGAAATGATAAAATTATTGATATGTCATTTTATATTGGCAATATAAATAATTTTTGCATTACTGAATAAAAGTAGTTAATTTCCTATTGATTTTTCAATTTGTTATTGAATAAGTTTGGGTAAAAAGAGAGCTTTTGAGAAAGCTTTTCCGCATACATATACATCATTTTTAAACTTCGAAAAAATTTTTAAGTCACAACGATACATTGTTTTTTAAAAAACACGCTTTCTCGTTTTTGTTGAATTAGGTATATGGCGAATAAAAAGAGGCTTCATCCGATTTAAAACTTTTCTGACATTCTAGGTATACTGTTATCAGGAAAGGACTTGCTCCGAATTCCCGTAATTTATCTCATTTTCAATAAATAACTAATACTTTGTGAATTTTTTGCTAACGTCCCGATTTTTAGGTTTTAAAAACATTTAAATTTGTGAAAATACACATCTTCTGGTGAAACCAGCTTTCTAAAACAGTTATATTCTGCAATGAATATTATATTACGCAAAAATTACGAGTTTTCGCTTATATTGGCAACTTTAAATTCCGCACAAGCCCAACGGAAGGCGTTTAAATTTTTTAAGGCGTCGAAAGAAATTTCGTAAATACAAAAACAAATACTTACTAACACCCCCACCGACTGAAATAGATATAGAGCAAACAGCCAGATGTAGTTGTTGTCGAATAAAGCGAAAAACTTTGCCGCCCATAACTCACAAGTGGCAACACACTGATAAACATATGCGCCCACACAAATGCACAGCTGCGGCACATAAGGTTACGGTCGCATTGCAGGTGAGTGCAATTTTTCGGCAGCAACACCCGACCAAATAGGAGCGTGTCACAAAGCAGCGCACCGCAACACACCATGCCAACAGATCAGCCACCTCAGAGGCATCTTAATTTGAACGAACTTTTGCGCAATATAGCCACACATACATACATATATTCGCCATTGTTTGTATGTGTGTGTGTGTGGCTGTAAAGTTGCGCTTGCCAAGTGCATACAAACCTACACACGGCTACTTATATACAAATTCATATATGTTTGTGTGCGTGTGTGTGTGTGCACACGCACCTGCGCAGCGTTCATCTGCAATTTTATGCCCCACAGCTACAATGCATTTATGGCCTTAAATTATTTGGTGTTGTTGCATTTACGGCGCATTTACGTGCCATTGCATTTCATTTAGCATAGGCGGATCTATGTGAACATGTGTTCGTATGTGTGTGTGTGCAATGTTGTACAAATGACTTGCTGGTTTATTTTGCGCCTCTCTGTCGCTCTCGGCGCGCTATAACCATTTCCGAAATTCACTTACTCCACTTTGACGTAACTCGCTGCTGTTGTTGTAGTTGTTGCTGCTTTTATTACTAGCAGCGTATTTGTGCTTTGGTATTTGCAATTGCGCACTTTGACATTGTCCCTGCCGCACGCCGTCCCCCTCCAGTTGGCTTGTTGTCGCCAGTTGGTTGTTGCTGCTGCCAGGGGACCAACATGCCAACGATTGCCGCATACATTTTTGACTTGCCACACTCACGCCTCGCAGTAGTTTGGCCATTTCAATG